GGCTCTGCCCCTTGACTGCCCTCTAAGCAATTACAGGATGTCCTAGATGGACAATGGTTTGGGCTTCCTGAAAAATCCTCCATGGTCAGTGCCGCCAAGAGAGGCCATGTGGATGTTCATGGTCTGTACTGCCAACTGAAGACACATCAATGTCTGTGGTCTGTCCTGCAGCCAGCAGGCATGCAGGTGTCTGGGCTTGTGCTGCCACAGAGGTAATGTCAATGCCTGTAGTCTGCGCCCCTGCTGGAGGTCATGTTGATGTCTGTGCTACCACCGAGGCCATGCTGTTTGTGTTTGTGCTGCAGTCTGGGGCCATCTATATGTCTGTGGACCATCCTATAACAGGGGGCCATGTCCATGTCTGAGCTGCTGCTAGAAGATATGTTGAAGAGTGCGGCCTATGCTGCCACCTGAGGCCATGTTGATGTCTGTGACCTGTGCTGCTGCAGAGGGTGAGGTTGATGTCTGTGGTCCCTGAAGCTGCCAGAGGCATTTTCTGTGGTGTAGCTGGAAGCCAAGTAGATGTCTCTGGTCTGTGCTGCCACCAGAAACCATGTTGATGTTCATGATTCATGCTGTGACCATGTTGATATCTGTGGTCTATGCAACCATGAGAAAACATGGAAGCATCTGTTGCAGTGGTATCAATGACTCCAGGTTCATAATTGAGAATTTGAGAATAAAGATACTGAAGGCTTTTGCAACACCCCCCACCACACACACATCCCTCCCTGTGCCAAAGAAAAAATAAACTATCTAGACAGGAAAGCATTGAGGGGAGTATTTAAAAATTGTGAAGATGCTAAAGTATAGCTCTTCACAGTTGTTGGCTTCTGATGGTGAAGGAAATGGGAAAGGACTCATTTATTTTTAAGGGGCTGGCTACTGAGAGTTTGACCATGCTGCAATTGAGTACATGAGCAACACAAATTGCAGCGTGTGTGCGTGTATGTTGTGTGTGTGTGGGGGGGCTATTTTCAGGGGGAGTCAACTCTGATTAGGATACATTGCCAAATAATAAAAATGCTATTTTGGAAATGTAAGTAAGAGAGAGGTAGAAAAAGAGAGGGAGGAAGAAGGGAGGGAGGGAAGGAGGGAGTTGGGCCACAACTATGTGCACCAAACACTAAACACCAGAAACTGAGATGTTCCTATCTTATGATGCAGCAAGACAATGACTTATAGAATGCCTCTCCTAACCTCAAGTCTATTCAGGCAGAGACTGACTTAAGAATGAATGTCTAACCTCCTTGTCTTTGCTAACTTTTGCATTGGCTATTTTGATAAACTGAGTCACATAAGAAACTGTGATTTTCTATCAAGGACCAGGAAAGTAAAGCTGGCAGTCTCCCTATGGACTGTACCTATGATTTAAAGTTTTATTTTTATACTTTAATTCAGAAATTACTCAAACTTAAGAATGATAAAGTGTAAAATTCTAATCTTATAAAAGGTACTAACTTGCAAAAACTTAAAGATGATTAAGACATGCAAGTTAATAGTTAGTCATTTGGATCAGAACAGATCAAATTCTTTAATGTGTTCAGAACTGTATTTGTAGTCATGGTAAGCTCAAATGTAATTAATTACAAGAATAAGCTTTATTTAGCCTTCTGTGTTTTGAGGTTAAGCATAAAGCAAGTAACTACCTCATGTATACTTAACAGATGATCTTCAAACTCTTCAGAGATTTACTGAATAAGGCATTTAAAACGTTTAATAAAAAAGTCTCCCATTATAGATGGAAACACCATGTCCTAGCAGGAACCCCAAGGTCTCCAAAGAAGACAATGCGTCACCAACTACTCCTCCTGGATTGTGACACAGCTAACCACTGGGATAAGTCCTGGTCCTACTGCCAGGGGCACCCCCAACAGATCAAGCCACATAAGTGTCACCCATATTCAGAGGACAGTTCAGATCCATTCAGGTTCCCCGGCTTTCAGTCCAGAGTCCGCGAGGTCCCACTAGTTTAAGTCAGCTGTTTCTGTGGTTTTTCTCATCGTGTTCTTGAGCCCCCCACCCCCCTTGTTCATATGACTCCTCCCTCTCTTCAACTGAACTCCAGGAGCTCAGCTCAATGTTTGGCTATGTAGGTCACTGTTTCTGCTTCTATCAGTTACTGGATGTGGGTTCAATAATGACAATTAAGGTGGTCACTAATCTCATTATAGGGGAAAGCCAGTTCAGGCACCCTCTTCACTATCACTAGGAGTCTTAGCTAGGATCCTTGTGGATTCCTGAGAATTTCCCTAGTACCAAGTTTTTCCCTAACCCCATAATGGCTCCCTCTATCAAGATATTTCTTTCATTGCAACCCTCTCTCTGTCCCCTCCTTCAACTTAGCCCTCTCAAACCATCATGTTCCTACCCCCAACCCCCTTCCTTTTACCCCCCCCCCTTCCCAGTTTACCCAGAAGATCTTAACAGTTTCCCTTTCCTGGGGCTGGGGTCCTCCATGTGTGTCCCTTTTAGGGTCCTTCTTTTTTAACTAGCTTCTCTGGGGTTGTGGATTGTACTCTGGTTATATATTGCTTCATGACTAATATCCACATGAGTTTGTCTTTCTGGGTCTGGGTTACCTCACTCAGGGTGTTTTTTTCTATCCATTTGCCTGCAAAGTTCAAGGTGTCACTGTTTTGTTTTGTTTTCTGTTGAGTAATACTGCTTTTTCTACAATGTGGGTTTTAGTGCAGATTATAAACAGTGGAAATGCTAATATTATCTATCTAAAACTTTATCTTTTTATAACCTAAAGAATTCATGTAAGCTTCAGGGAGTCATAAAACCCAAATCCACCTTTCATAGGTCAAATGGACTCCAGGTAAAAAACAGCTTAAGTTTCCCTACCTGCCTATTCCTGAGAATGTGAACTCCTCCCCTTCTCCAACTAACAACTATGGGTTTGAAAGTTCCAAATGTAAAATTTCCCTTTAAGTTCCTAAAGTTTAACTTCTGTCCTATATCTGTCTCAGCAGATTTCCACTTAGCTGACAGATACCATCCAGGAAATAGATGCTGACTACAAATTGCTCTAAATGACTGCAATCCATGGATTTGCTGAAAGCTGACATGAACCAGTCCAGCTAATGTGATTGGTCCCTGTTTCTTCAGCCGGGCCAGTCAATCAGATGCTTCTGATGAATGCCCCATCGCCTGAATCCCCTCCCAGTCTTTGACAAGTAGTCCAGCCTTCCTGGGCCCTGACAGACATATCCTAATTTCAGCCAGAAGTAGTTTCAGAAAAGAGTACATCACCCTTTATCCTCAACAGGCTAGAATGTTATGTCAAAAGGAAACTCCTTGCCATAGGGAAAAAAGTGGCTACCTATAATGCCCATGTGCATACCAGGAAGGTACCTATTAAAACAAATGATGTAGCTGTAAGCTTTTATGTGTTTGACCCAGTCCCATAGCTGCTTATAAAATAAGCATTCAATATTAATCACAAACTGTTTGGCCAACTGCTTAGGCACATTACTAACTAGCTCTCATACTTAAAATAAACCATTCCTATTAATCTGTTATCACCATGTAGCCATGGCCTAACAGTAATGCTTTGGCATCTTGCTCCACCACCTTCCTTCTCTCCATATCTCTGTTTGGATTTACCACCTGGCTCTATTCTGCCTGGCCATTGGCCAAATCAGCTTCTTTATTAACCAATGGTAATAAAACCTATTCACTGCATACAGCATACAGAGGGGCATCTCATATCACAAATAGACCAGATCTACCAACAAGTAGATATATTAGCTTAAGCAGTACTACAACATGATAGGGCATTTGACCTGCTCTATGTAGAAGAAGGAGGTTATTGGGTGGCTTTAAGAGAAAATTGTTTCTATACAAAGCCACTCAGGAATCATTTGGCTATCCTCAAATTTAAACACACACACACCAGAAAAAAAGGGGACCCAAGATAAAATAAATGTCTAGTTCCATTTTCATAATCACTATGAAATAAGCCACCACAGGTCTTTGGCCCTTCTGTTTCTGTTCATTTCTATTGGCCCCTGCATCATTAATATCTTAACTAGATATAAAAATTCCCATCTGGGTGCCATTCAAGTGATGTTTACCTACCAGAATAAAGAATTTGACTCAGGATACAACTCAAAGGAAGAATGTGACAGCTAAAATTGTATGAAATTGAAACTAGATTAGCAAAAAACACAGTTAAAAAGAATGAAGCTGGAGGGTTTATACAATTTGATTTTAGAACTTACTATAAAACTACACTAATCCATACAGTGATACTGGTGGAAGGTCAATTGAACAGGCATATGAATCTACCCATGAGAAATATAGGATACTTTGCTATCCACGAGAAAAGAAAGCACACATTCCTACTGAAAAAAACTATAGAAAATGTTGACAGCAGTGCCTAGCACACACTAGTCACTTGGCTCAATTCCCAACACACCTCCCAAAGGATCTGAGAATAGTAGGAAGAGTTAGTGCAACAGCGTAGACGAATCTCAAAATAATATGCTGAGTGAAAGATGAAAATAAGAGAAGGAAAAGAAATGTATGATTTCACTCACATAAATATTAAAGTACATAAATTCCTCTATAATAGCAAGTTAGTTTAGTGGTTTCTAAGGAACAAGATGACAAAAAGAAGAGCAGGGAGAAAAAAACTTTCAAACCATCTGAGTACACTTCTTCAACTGATAGATAAATTTCATTAAGAGTTTTTACCAGATTAAGTATATTAGAATTTATCAAAGTGGATGTCTAATGTACAGTATACTGCTGTAAACCACACCCTAATAAAGGAGAACACATGTCCTGAAAATGTTGTAAAAGTCAACTGTTAGTATGTGCAGAGCTTCAAATGCGAGGTTTGGTATTGTTTTAAGATTTTTTTTTTTTTCCCAGCAGACATTAACAAGTCCGTGAAATAATTTCTTCATATTCACCAACATCTTTGATAAGGCTGATGGTTTTACTAAGTAAACACCAAAGAAAAATATGCAGAAAATGAATAAGCATACCTTGATTTGTGCAAAGGGTCTTTCATAACCTCCAACATAGAGAAGGCCAACATTCTGAGGAAGCAACCTACAAGGTAGGAAAAAGTAAAATAAAGAAAACATTTTATGTATAAAGTACTCTGCCTTTGCAATAAGGGTGTATAATAATAAGTGGGAAGACTGGAGATAGGACTCAATCAGCAAAGTGCTTACTGAACAATTATTAGGACCTGAGTTTGATACCCATAATCCATGTGAAAAAGCCAGGTGTGCTCGCAACAGTCTGTAATCCAGGCACTGGGGAGGTGGAGGCAGGCTCACTGAACAATCAGTCTAGCCTAACTGCCAAGTTTTGGACCAACAAGAGATTGTCTCCTCCCCCACCCCAAAGAAACCAAGATAGATAGCATCTAAAAAACAATACCCAAAGCTGAACTCTAGTTACACACACACACACACACACACACACACACACACACACACACACACACACACACACACACACACGGGGGGGGGGGGAGAACAAAATGTCTCTAATAGAAACTATGAAAAATGAATATGCAATTATTGTCTTCTGTACAATGAGATAGTAATGCCAAATGAATGCTTCTATTTTAAAAATTAAAAAAAAAAATTGTGTAAAATGTTAAGAACGGGGCAGGAATGTAACTTAAGTACATAAGGTATTAGAATAGCATATATGAAACCTGGGTTCAAATTCCAGTACAGCATAAAACTGGATGTGTTGTCACAGGACTGTAATACTAGCATTCATGAGATATAAGCAGGAGGATCAAAGGTAGAAAGAAGAAAACCTCTCAGATACATGGAGAGTTCTAGGCTAGCTTGGGCTACTTGCTTCTATGGCTCAAAAAACTTCATGACAATTAAATATAGAATACACTTAACAATAATTCTAGTAAAATTAACTAGTGTCTCTGGAAATGAGGTAACAATATTATAATCAAATATTTATAAAGATTTAATTGAAGAACCAGTGAATGCATGCTATACCACATATTATAGATGATAATGACTTTAATTCTGTGCTAAAATTTTACCAAAACTTGACTAAATACTCTAAACAAAAAAGTGGCCTTGACCATATACAGATATGTATAAAAACATATCTGTCACTGGAAAGCAATGTGATTATGGAGAGCTAGGCTAAAGTCTGAATACATAGGAGTCACAGCATGAATAAGGAGTAGAGTCAAATTATATATGGCTTTACTCCCTAAATCATCCTTTCATTTCTTCCCATTCAGATCTCTAGAAGGTCCATTATGTCGTTTTCTTTTAGGTATTTTGAACTACATGCATGTCTTGTGCCCACAGAGGCCAAGAGAGGGCCTCAGATCCCCCAGAACTTGAGTTAAGAGAGGGTTGTAAACTCTCACAAAGATACTAAGAGTCAAACCTGCGTCTTTTAGAAGAGCAACCAGTATTCTTGAGCCCTTTATTTTCCTTTCTTAAGACATTCTTACTATGTAGCCCAAAGGGGCTTCTAATTCATAGTGGCCTACTTAGCTTCCCAAGTGCTAGGATTATAGTCCTGTATCAATCAGAGGTCTATCATTTGCACTGAAACTCCAGGTGGGTTTTGTTTGTGGTACTGGGAATTTACCTTAGAGCCTCATATATAAAGGCAAGTGCTCTGTATAGAGCTAAATTCCTATCCCATATTAAAACATTATAAATGAAGAAATACTGCCATTAGAACTTTATAATAATTAAAGAGAAATTAGTAGTGGAGTAAGCTATGGAAAGGACATAAACACTAACCATAGTGTGGGGAATCATGACTTTGGCCTCGCCTAGCTGTCTTGAGAGGCATGTGTCATATGTTTCTCAGGTTAGAGTCCATGGCAGGGGTGAGTGGGTGGGGTTGGGGGAGAGGGAGTGGGCACAATGTGCCTTCCAGTTTCTGAGAGACCATCACACTCCCTCGGGCAGTGAAGCGTTCAAGCTGCTTTGTGTTTCTCTGTATATTCCCTCAGAAATCAAGTAAGCATGGAAGCTTGGCAGGACAATTGGTAATCCTGTGTACCCTATGTAGCATACAAACAACATTCTATGCTGGCAACAACAGCTGCACTGATACTGCTAAGTGACACTATATTCTGTTGCTGATAAAGGTACAAAAAGTCTGATTGTTCTTAATAAAATATTCATAGCCTCAGTTTTGCTGTGTCTCCTACAATTGGCCTGGTTTAATTCCTCACAAACATATCCGGTAACTTCGGCCTGCCTGGTAATTAAACATGGCACTTATCCCATAGTATATCTCATTCTTTTACCATAGTATTTTTCCTAAAAGACATGTAAATAAATGGACATATAACTTCATATTTAGCATTCATATATGGAGGGAAAGCCTGTATCCTATACCCAAAATCTCCATGCACAGATATATCTAAGAGTCTACATGAAGTTAACAGCTTTTAGGACAGGTAACAGAATTGAAATGAGCTGCAGGATAACTATACATTCTATTGCATGAATCTGAGAAAAGAACCCTCAAATATACTTGTTTACTATGTATGTATATATGTATGCTTGTGTATATGTATATAGTAAGCAAGTGTCAATTCAAAGCAAACCAATGGAATCTTCTCAGTGTGCCATACTGGCATAATCTCAGAAAATAAGAATACTCAAGATTATTATAACAATCTCCTTTTTGGGCAGTTTGCTTTTGGTTTTTGAAGCAGAACTATGAAGCTTTTCACTGCACACTCCTGGGATATCCTGGAACTTTCTAACTACACCAAGCTACTTCTACCACCAAGTGCTAAGTTACACATGTATCTCTACAAGATCTGGCATAACTGTCTCTTTAAACTTCAATTCATAGCTTTAAAAACTTGATCTCAAAAGTTTTAGAATCCATATTTATTAATAACATTATTAATAACAATAGTGTGATCTTCAGATGTCACTGGGAACAGACAAGAGATGTTTGTATGATTCTTCTTCACTGGTATGGACTACCTAGTGAGATGAAGAAAGCAAACATCTTAAAGCATGAAATAGGGCAGAATTTCAGTCTCCTCAGAATAATCTCTTATACCCTGTAGGGACAGTAACACACACTAACAGAACATTAGCAGTGACATTCACAATCATGAATTAAACTCATTTAGTCAAATCCCTTTTTACATTAAGAATATAAGTGAAAATATGTCAATAATATACTATAGCAGACATAATAAAGGGCAATTGCTTACTTGATTCAAGTACAAAGTACAAAATATGTCCCGAAATCTCAGCAATGAAATGAGAAAATTCTTGCCATGCTTTTGACAACTAAGAAATTCAACCAAGAAAACCTTGAACCTTTTCTGGTAGCAGCTACATATAGTAATGGTAATTAACAAATGTTCACAAAAAACCTGATAAGCCTCCTTTAAAAGTAAGAATAACCACTATTCATACAAATAGGCAGTAGGAAAGGAAAATAATAAAAGCTGGCTGACATTTAAAAGCATATATATATATATGCCTCTAATTACTATGCACGCACATATCAGGAAGTTTGCCAATATACTGTTTAGTGTGCACCTCCCTTCCACAAATTAATCTAAAAACTACATTTCTTCAGCATTTTCTTAAATGTTACCAGTAAGACTTTGTTTTTAACTTTTATGAACATCTATTATTCTTTATCATATATCGTTACTTGAACAGGGCTTTGCTGTTGTTTAAAACAGTCTTATTGTATAGCTTTGACTCATCTGAAACTCACAGAGATTGCCTCCTGAGTACTGAGATTAAGGCATGTGACATATACCATAATTTCATTTGAATAGTTTTAAATATGTATTATGATTTAAAAACCTTGTAAGAGTATGATAATACTTTGCTAATATAGGTTTCCATTTTTAAAGAGGAATGTTTCTTCTCTTCTAAAAGATTGTTTTGCTAAATTGTATACATAATTATTGCCAAGTAATAAACATCATTTACCAAGACAGAGTGCTTGTACTAGTGTTCATTTTGCTTTTGATTTACCAAACACAAATAGAAACAACTGTCTATACTGGAAACATCCCAAATTGTTCCCACAAACACCTCTCAATGAAAGAAAAGCAAACACTGGGGGGTAACAGAACAAATACTACATGAGCTTCATTCACTGTATGCTGACATCTGACACATACTGACTCATAGTTGTGTACTGGAAGACACGGAAGCATCCCTTCAAAAAGCAATCAAGTCTACACTTACCTCAAATTAAAAAATTTAAGGAAAAATGGGTGTGGAAGCACACATCTGTAATCCCAGCATTTTTGGAGGCTAATATAGAAAGATTGGTTGGGGGAGGGGGAGGCACTAGAATAAGATCTCAAGGGAAACAAAAAACAAAAACAAAACATGAACCTAATAATTTAAAATTGATGGTAAGGGCTGAAGAGATGGCTTAGCAGTTAAGAACACTGGCTGCTCTTCCAAAGACCCAGGTTCAATTCCCAGCACCCATATGGCAGCTCATAATCTTCTGTAACTCTATTTTCAGGTGATCTGATATTCTCTGACCTCTGTAGACATCAGGCACGCACATAGTATACACTCATAGTACAGGCAAAACACCCATACACATACACTATGTATAATCAGATATGATTTCAACCTCCAATAAAATACTTTGAAACAACATTCAGTACTCTTTCATTTTTGTATGCTTTCTGTAGATGTACGATGTGTTCACTTGTGTGAATGTGGTCACATCTGTGCGCAGATATTGATGTAGAGGTCAGAGGATAGGTATGAGTCCCTCACTTCCACTTTGTTTGAGACAGGACCTGTGTGCTTACAGGAACTTTCCTGTCTCTGCCCTCTACCATGACAGAAGCCCTGAGGTCACACAGTATCTCACCCAATTTTACTTGGGTTCTAGAAAGTAGAGCTCAGATGCTCACACAGAAAGTATTTTATCCACTGACCCAATGTTCCAGCCAACACAGGGTACCACATATATTATTTGCAAAATATTCCCACCATATTAAGTCTCACAGGTAAACTGAAATTTATTTAATAAAGACCATACTACAGAGGATTAAAATACTCAAAGTATTTACTTTAAAA